AAAGAAGGCAGTTTGTTCCCTTAATTCATCTGTTGCAACATATCTAGGGCAAAAAAATGGCGCACTAAAATAGTTTTTTAAACATTTAAATATAGCAATCATTATGTGTTTAGCAGGACTCAATGAGTGTATATCTGCATAGACACAGAATTCCAATGTCCAAAATAAATATTAACACAGCTGGCTCTCATAAACGAGAATCTCAACAATCTCTAGTCTCTGCCCTTCATTAAATTTCTATTCTGACTATTCTGTGGCCACTGTTCTTTGCAGTTACAGTTCCCTGTGCTAGTTGCTCGTTCTAAAAATTCTGGGACACAAAGTTTACCATCCATCAAGCACACACATGTAGTCTTTGCCCTGGAAAGGCAGCATTGCCTTGAGCTCCTTTTCACAGTTAGGGTTAGTATGTATGTAGGGTTGCTGCAATATAAGGCATAATGAAGCGTTATCTTCAATATCTGCCATCGATTGCCCATGCAGACATTTTATGAGTGTGTCCTGAACTTCGGTCATATGCATGTACACATCCAAGCTAAGGCCTGAACTGTGCCCTGAAATCTTAAAATCCCTTTACAAACTTGAAGGGCCGTATTCCAAAATCTGACAGTCCCTTCACAAAAGGACTGAGCTATTCCACAAATATATGACAGCATCTTAAAAGACAATGGATCCAGGCTACATTTCACCTTTAAATTCCTCATGATTAATATAGATGTACTGCCAGCCAGCTACTGACCTGTAAACAACAGATGAGAATTATGCTAATGAGCATAATGCTATAAGTCAGTAAGCGTGAGCAAAGCCATGAATATGAGGCATTCCATGGGTTTCTTCAGCCAAAGTTACTGTCGCTGTATGTATTTGAAGGATGTAGGTGTATTGCAGGAGACAGTCCCATTTATATTATCTGCTTGTTGAAATTCTGTTATTCTGTTATTGTCTTTATGCTGCTAGTAGGTTATCCCCGCAACGGAGTATGAACCTTTTTGACAAGTGAAAAGAATGGAACTGTACTCCAGTGTCACCCGTGTTATTTGTAGCAGGCTAATTAGTCAAAGATTGAGGATTTAATCCCAGCCTTGGGTGTTAAAAGCACATTTAAGACGTAAGCCTACACTGGACAGGATGTCGCTTGTCAGCCTCTGTTACAGAGACCGGCTTGCAGAGGTTCAGTACCACATGGGAGAACAGTATTACCTCTACTGTCACGAGATGGGATTCATGATTATATTTTATAAGGAAAATTTCCCTAGAATTTATCATTACAGTATTTTTTTAACAGTAGATTTAAGGTTTGTTTAAAATATTGCTTTTCTGCAGACTGGAGTGAAATACGAATCCTATTTTTTTCCAATCCAGCACGAAGATCAGGGCTGACATTTCAAAGTACAGTAACGGCACACGTTTGCGTCAGCGGTGATCTACCACCTATCAGATTGCTCATGACTGATGCAAAAGCTTGATATGTAGATTTCAATTAATATTTTATCAGACTTTGCAATGAAAATGGACACAGCTCATCCCGAGTTAAACCTCAAGACATACAGTAGCTGGTAAAGAAAACCTTGTAACTGATCCACTTAGTGCTATGCTTACTAATCAGTGAAGCAATGAAACAAAACTGCAGTCATTTTTAAATCTACCCATAAAAATCCCAAAGGACAAGTTCTGACCTATATGCTTACTCTTTTTTCTGGATAGCACAGATTTGGTTACACAGGCATAAATGCTTTTTATTGTGTGATTTCATTTGTTTGTTGATGATTACTGTAGCTAAATACATCCCTCCTGAGTCGGTATATATGGCTCTGATAACATTTTTTCATGTGCCTCTATATTTTTAAATCCTACCATTTATATGCACGGTATTTTTGGCATTAGATACATATGCTCTACAACAATTATGAAGTTAACAGCACTAATGGATAGAGATCTCAAGAAGTTATGAACCAATACTTATACTAGAACTATAATCTATAGCATCTGAATATGAGGAGAAGGACAAAATGCACATGTGCTACTCAGGAATGGTTTGGGTATGTTATAAGAAGACTGTACGGAAAAGGATACACAATTTCATCCCCTGAAGTTCCCTATCTCTCATATTGGACAGAAATCTGAACAGTTTTGACTGTCTTGTGGGAAACAAGCACAGTACCAGAGTTTCATACAACATTCTCAGCAAACACTGGCACCAAGCTTTATCTAACTTCACTGAAGGTGCAACACTGAAAAATCCCTTGATGTTCAAGACAATCCCTGTTGAGTGAATTTCACCACTTTAATTAATCTAAAAAAATGATCTTCTGCCTTGCTTCTCTTGTTATTCTATACTTGTGACTGCCCTCAGTCATGTCTAATGGTGCTCAGTATCCACGTCTATTTAAGCTTTTGCGGGGCGACAGACACCGAGGTGAAGGTGGTGCCTCGCTCCTTGTTGTAGATTTTGCGGGTACATTTTGAGCCAGTTCACTTTCACTACGCCCCAGTTGTGCTCCTGTCTGTTGTGTCAACGGATTAATGTTGTTATTGCATATTGTCAGCGTTCAGCAGAGCATGTTCTTTAAATCCCACCTGGGTGCCAAGACGAGACAGGGCTGGTGAAGACTAGCCTAGCTGCTAGCTGCAGGAATGAGTGTCGGTGTTGGACCTCCTGTCGGCCAGTCTGATTGGCTGAATGCTTTTATGGTAGTCGGTGGTGGGAGGGGGCAAGGGCATAGAAACAAGTTTTGTTCTCTTAATGGATCTAGGGGTTTTATTCATTTCACTTCCAAATGGGTCGAGGAAATACACAGCACAGAAGGGCAATGTGAAGCCATTTGGGGCGTTTTTTCTAGCATGCTCATTATCTGGGTGCACTCATCAGGAGAGAGCATGGTTTGGGAACTAGGTGATTCAGTGGTCAACCCTGCCGGAAGTATTGTGGGAAGATTGGTGGGGGGGGTGGAGGTGGATAATCCCTGGCATGCAAAAGGCCAGGCTGCTTTGTTGTAACAAATCAGTCTGGGGATCTTCTGTCTTGCACAGGGATCTGAAGCAGGAGATAGTCATTGTGAATGTTAATTATCTTTAAAATAAATATGACTGTGCTTAAAGAGGAAGCAGTGGGGAACAGGGAACAGCTCCATATTCAGTGAGCCTCTTCGCTTCTACTGTATAACTCTTGGTAAAAAAATGAATGCTGCCGACGATGCTGACAGTACAAGTGTATATCTGTGTATATTTCTGTTAACATCCTTAAGGGATCCCATTTGGAATAATCACTAATGGTGCGTGAATTCGGAGTTAAGCCCAGCATTTATGTCTCCCCCTTTTTATTCCCTCGTAGCTGATTATTAGTTTTTATCTGTGTGTAAAAAGTCAATGGGCGGATCGCATCGTGGATCAGCTTAACAATTATGGAGCCCCATGTCAGAAATTCAAGGGCCGTTCAGCCTCTCCAGTTGCTATATTTGTTCAGCTGTAATGAATATTTAGGAAAGGATGATTTTCATCAACATTCGCAGCATTACGCAGCTGTTACATATCTGCGGGGGGCCAAGACAACAAAAGCAAGTGTAAGGAAATGTCTGGTGGGATCAGACTTGTGTCTGAATTAAAGGTAAAAATGGAAATAGAAGCTGTTTAGTGGGAAACACAAAGAATATGTGGAAAGGCTTCATTCCCAGCGAAACCGAAGCCCTGGCCTTTAACTCGTCTCTGTAGTTTCCACTTTAAGCTGTCCTTCACTGCAGCTTGGAGTCCTCACTGTCAATACAAAGCAAACACTCTGATATTCACGCCAGACTCTGCTGAATATCCTGCCTGCCGTTCGTCATTATATACGTCCTCCCTTATGTGCACACGCACACATACATGCAAACACCCCTGATGCACGATGGAGAAATCGACAACTGAGGAAATATAACCAAAGCACAGAAGATTCAGCGTTCCGGGCCCTGTACTGTAATTTGTCCTGCGTCGCTCTCTCATTCTCCGCTCAGCGGGGCTCCGTTTTCAGTGCTACAACAGGACAGTCTATAAACACCGTTTGCGTGGATCTGCAGTTCGTGTTCCAGCCCACTCTCAGCCCAGAGCAGTCATAACAAAGCTGAAGTCAGAGCATTATGTGCCCATTAGTGTTGTTAAAAGATTAGATGTAGCCAGATTGCATGTTTATTAAGGGACCAAATCCTGGCACTCAGATTGTTCACTGAACGCATTATTGATGATGCCAAACTTACTTTGCACACCCATTACACCTTTGCAATCAATATTCAGGAATTTGGCATCTGTCCTGTATACAGGCAAACACCTGCAGCTTGGTATTATCCAAAGGCACCCACACACAAAAGCATGCACACTTTCAAAGGACACAGTGTCACCAAAGGATTGAAAAGCAATGGGAAATGAAATGTAGTGCAAATTATTCACCCTCCCTGATAATGTGCCACTTAAATATAAAGCCCCCCATCTATTCAAAGATAACATGCCATTAAGGTAGGCAAACTCAGAACAGTCTTTTATTGAAACTGCATATTGTTTGGAAATAATATACAACAAAGTCAGGATTTGTTTAGATATTTCATTTTTCACTTATTTTTTTTTGCCATGGTGTATTTATTTTATATCAGTTTTGATGCATGTTACATTTGGAAGATGAGATATTTTAAATCAAAGGGTACAGTATGGTGATATTTGATTTACACAAGCAACATACTTTCTGTAAAGTACTGCAAATATGTCATCGCTACATTGCAATTTGTGGTAAGGAGGAATATGTTGTTTAGCTCATTTCCTTGTTACCTCAAGTGCACTATTCTCCTTTCCTCAACCTCTCTGACAGAACAATACTTAATTTTATATGCTCTGTGAAACCACGCATGAAATTTGAGTAAAAATGGTGTCACAGCTGCTATCCAGTGCAATGACTATTTTTACTGCATATAACCTTGGCTTCCACTGTCTCATTTCTTCACTAATGGAAACATAGTCTAACTGCAGTCGTCTCTTTGCAGAGGATGAGCTGTAGCTACCTTCTGTGCACCATCCTGCTGTTTGTGGCTGTTCTTCTGGCTGTAACTGTGACTGGCACCATCCTCTTTATGAACCACTACCAAGCTCCTCCTGTTTCCGATGGCCCACCTCTCATCAGCACCAATCAGAACGAAGGGAACGCCCTGGTGACCGTCGAGCGGGGCGACGGCTCGCGCATCAACATCTTCATAGACCCCAACTGCCCTGACTACAACAGCAACTTCCTGCGCCTGGAGGGTGTCCAAACGTCGCTGCTGCACTCGCTGACCGACCACGACTCCGACCTGAAGTCGGTGAAAGGCCAGGACCGCGCCCTGCTCGTCAACTTGGCCGAGGAGGTGGCCAGACTCTCGGCCCATGCCAGTCAGTTGAAGATGGAGTACGAGTCACTGCGGCGTGGTCAGGGAAACCTAGGACAGGAGCTCAACACCCTGCAGACAGAGCAGGGTCGACTCATCCAGGTGAGCGCCCCATCAAAAATGATTTGTCACCCCCCTCTCATTATTTCATTGGAACAGTCCACTATCTCACTACAACACCTTCAATCTTCTGCTTTATAGTAGGCCACTGTGAGTATTCTACTTGTATTCTACACTAGTTTCCACCCTCTACATTCTATCTAGAGCATCACTTACTCTGCTTTCCCAGGGAAGAGAGGGAGGTATTGCATTGTCTGAAAAGCCAATGGAAAGATTTTTTATTAACAATAGACCCAACTGGATTCATTAAACATCTAGGGGTCAATATTTTAGCATTTATTACTGCTCCCAGCAGTTCTCAGCTCAGTTAGGGAGTTTCACTAAATATTATTCATGCTTTTTAATAAATCATGTACTTTAATCATTTGGGTTCTGCATTTTTTTAGCAGCACTTAGTCAAATCTAAGAGGCTTTCAGACATCATTGCTATTTATTTTCTGAGCTGACATCCTGATCCACAGCTTGGAGTCTTACCCTGACTGCAGGGCTATGACCAACAGAACATTTAACCAAGCTGTGAAGGGTGGATAACATGCTCGACATGTACAAAGAGAGAGAAAGGTGACCTATAAAGGAAATGAAATACAGATGAGATAAGATATAGTTTCACTTCCAGTGAACTAAGCACAAGGTGCATTAGAATGGTGGCTCATGGACCCCCGAGGTTTATGGGAAAGAGTTTCATGTGACACAATTTGTGGAGGGACGGCCCCACCAGCTGCGTGCAGAGTGTGAATATGTCTGACAAGAGGCACCTACATTATATTTCCTTTCTCTCCGTGTCAAGCTGCTGCCTTATTAGATGCTCCTGCTCTCACAGAAAGAGTTTAAGCACCTGACAACGGATATGACAAGGTTTTGACCCTCCTGTCATCGGAGGAGGAGTCCGGAGAAGATCCAGCTCAAACCAAGCATAGAAAAGCATAGATGATAAGATTAACTGGTCATTAACATTGCTAAATATTCAGATGAAACCAATTTACATGTTTATTAGGCTAAAGCATGAAAAAATGCATAATTAGAGCTATCCCTTCCATGTCTATGCTTGCGGCATACCTACACGGACTCATAAACAATACGACAGCATATGTTTTGCTGCCCTCAAGTTCAGAAAAAAATACAATAGGCTTGAAATCAAATGGTGAGTCACAGGCATTCATATGCTAATGCGGGTTTTAGAAATGAACCTTAGTCAGTCATTTTCTATCAGCCAGACTGCCTAGGATATGTTATTTAAAGATGTAGGGGTTGTTTGACATGACAGGTAGTGTCCTGTAACTTATAGTGAAGTAACACGTTGTTTAAATGCTGTGTTTGCGGGCAGCACATAAGGCTGGCAGGAGATGCCCTCAGATCAGGGACCCGTTTTTTGGATCTCAGGTCTATAGAGACAGCAAAGGAAAAGAGCCTTCAGCTAGTTAACATTGGAGGCAGAGGGCAGGATCAAATTCATAGGCATCTTAGCAGCAGATGACATGTCAGGCTTCAAGAGAAAGGCCCATTTCCGATACCTTTTTATTACACGTCCCTCATGAAATTTTCCCTGAGAAATAACGGCAAAGTCACTGAGCGACCCGCTCATAAGCTGAAGGCCAGGTAGATTTATTTTCTATCATAATACTGTCACACACCCAGCCGCAGCAGATATCTCTCATTGCCCCCGTTAAAAAGTTCTGACTACAACAACAGAAGGTATGTCTCCAATGGCAACTGCTTCATTTCCTGTAGTGCTTGCCTCTTTTTTTCAGAGAAAAAGCAAAGGTCGATAAAAGGCTTGAATTCTTTGGAATAGCAAGGGTGTTATCTTTAGCAAAAGGCTGTCTCTTTTTTCTGTCCTTTTTGACTTCTCCAAACTTTAATTCAAGCTGGTGTATCTTACATGTCCATACTTATTGACATGGATTTTGAGGAGTTGTGTACTCATATACTGTATGTCTGTCTATTAGAGTCCAGGCTAATCATTCCCCATGGCAACAAAACTGGCTGATTTGACTGACTAACTGATTAAACACAGCTCCCTCTTTCCCATACGTGGGTGTCGGTATTCCTGTCAGTATTTGAGAACCAGATTGTAGTAGCAGGTTATAACTCGATGGAAGCATATGGTAGTTGGACATGACAGTCCAGGAAATCACTGATGTAATAAAGTATGTTCTGGAGGACTGCAATAGATCCCTCTTGTGAATTTTGTCCTAAAGCTCCACCAACCAATATTCTTTTCAATTTCCTCCTGCGAGTATGCTATGTTTACTGCCTCATAGCAAGATTTAATCCTCTGTTTTCTTGTTTGACTAACTGAATATTCTCTACTAAAGGAGGACAGTCATGAAACTCTCATATCTACAGCGACATATCAATATTCCACTAAAGGAAGTTAGTCAGGTGTTAGCTTATTGCTGCAGCTAAATATTAATACTCAGTGAAAGGAGGATAGTCAGGTGTTAGCTTATTGCTACAGCTAAATATTAATACTCGGTGAAAGGAGGATAGTCAGGTGTTAGCTTATTGCTACAGCTAAATATTAATACTCGATGAAAGGAGGATAGTCAGGTGTTACCTTATTGCTACAGCTAAATATTAATACTCAGTGAAAGGACGATAGTCAGGTGTTAGCTTAATGCTACAGCTAAATATTAATATTCTAATTATACCTTAGAATACTACCAGTGAGAGTCGAACACAATTAGCAACACAAAAATATACATTTCATTGTTGCAGTTCAAGAAATCTCTTGAGGTGAATTATTTTAAAATAAAGAGAATATCAGATAATCTGATTATTTTTTCCACAGTTACAATAACTGTACTTAGTGCTGGTGGTACCATTGATCCCATATGAGCAAATACCTGAAGAGAATTTTTCCATCTTGTGTTTTGTTGCCATTGTTCCTTCCTGGCTTCCTGTGTTTCTGATGCTTACGGATCCTTCTCATATCTGTGTGGCACTCTTTATATTCTCCTGTCGTGTCTAAGACATGCTACCCAATCCTGCTCCTGGAAATCTACCACCGCGCAAAGCTTAGGTGTACTGCAAATTTAACACACTTATACAGATAATAAGCTTAGCTTCAACATAGCTGGCTCTAATACTGAGGTGCTACTGAAGAACCTGATTATCTATATCAGATGTGTTAAATTCAGGCTGCACCTAAGCTCTGCAAGGTCATAGATCTCCAGAAGCAGGATTGGGCAGCCCTGATCTATGATGCATAAACGTCTCTGATATGGATTATGCATAGATATGTGTTAACCTAAGATGTTTTTGCAGCCTTTCACCAACATGTGGTTGTTAAGTACCCATCAGTATCAGGGTTGCTAACTCTTGCACATCTGCCATGAGTTGTGACCGTGCGCCAGGACGAGCAAGCAGTGAGTGGGTAAGCTGGATCGGGCACACAGAAGTCCAGAAAACGGGGTTTTATTGCATGCAAAGCACAACACGATAAAACAACATCAATGACCGTACAGGGGAAATAGACTTGACCGCGGGCTAAATACACTGGACTACTCAGAAATGACACAAAACAGTTGAAGACAATCAGGAATTGACACGAGGGGGCGTGGCACACAGAAGGATCGTATGAGCAGGTCATGACAGAACCCCTCCCCAAAGACGCACACTCCGAGCACGCCTCAGGGGAGGCGACTGACAAGACGGGACCGGGGAACACGGGACCTGGAAAACAAAAGCAAGAACATTAACAGGAGACCGGGAACAGAACGGACACACAGAACAGGCACAGGGACATGAAGTAAGACAACACCTGACAGAGGACAAGAAAGGCAGAGATTAAAATCAGAACGGGAAATACCGGGGGAACATCAACAGGAGGAACGAAAGGGCCAGGAATGAACACGGGAGCCACAGAGGAACGAGGAGCAGAAACAGGAGGGACGAAGGAAGGAGGCAGAAAGACAGAGGAAGGCGGACAACGGGAAGCCCGAGGGAACCCCAGCGGGCAGAAGGCGGCAGCCACAGGAGCAGCAGGCGACCGCGAGGCCGGAGCAGGAGGAGGAGGCCGGAGGGACAGATGAAGGAGGCGAGGAGGAAGTCGGAGGGGACCCCGGCGAAGGCAAGGAGGGAGGGGAAGCCGCAGCAGGTGACGGCGCAGCCACAGCAGGCGAAGGCGCCGTCCACCGATGAGCTGGAGTGAGGGGACCCACAGGCGACTGAGGAGTCGAAGCGGGGGAACCCGCAGGTGACCGACGAGGTATCGGAGGTGGGGCCGAAGGCGGCCAACAAGGCATTGGAGGCGGGGCCGAAGGTGGGCGACGAGTCACCGAAGAGGGACCCACAGGCGACCGCTGTACAGGAGCCGGAGGACCCACAGGTGCCCCTCCAGCCACAGCCAAGGAGACCGAGGGCGAGCCAGGGGGCAGGACAGGCGGGTCCCGACCCCTGCACAGGTGTCCTCTCCCATTCCGGGATACCGACAAGTGGGGACCTGGCCGACAAGTGGGGACCCTGTTGGGGCGATGGCGGAGGAGTCCTCCTCCTGGAGGAGTCCATGGGGGCTATTAGGGAGGTCCCCGAGGGGTCCCACTCTAGCTCCTCCTCTCCCTCCATCACGGGGGGAGGAGCGGTATTCTGATAGTCCAGGACCTCCTTGGGGACTGAATCTGGAGCCGGGGGGACTGGAACAGGAGATACAGTGGGCGGAGCCAGGACGTCAGGCGGAGCCGGGGCCGGAGCATCAGGCGCGGGCGGAGCCGTAGCAGGGGCCTCGGGCAGTGCCGGAGCCACAGCAGGGGCCAGAACCTCTGTGGGCGGCAGGTCAGGAACAAGCAGGTCAGGAATATCAAACACGGGCACCGCGGAGGGTGGTGCCATAGCCACCAGCGCAGGAACCATGCGGCTTGGAGCCGGGCTGTGTGTGTCCGCAACAGCCGTTGTCCCTTTCAGGATCCGTGGGACCCGCGGGATTGAGTCCCAAATGGACCCGGCCCCTTTAAGGGCCAGGTGAGTCGCGAAAAAGGGGTGTTCTGCTGACACTGGCCGCGTAGCCGGGTTCAAACTCGGAAGGGGATCCTCCTGATAAGCAGCAGGGCAGGCAGCGGCGAGGGAGGAAGCAGTGAAGATAGAGATGGCCCCCAGGAAGATTGTTGGCATCTCCGTATGTCTCCGTCTTCTGTGCTTCTTCCTTTTTCCGGTAATCGGGGACCCCTCGGGCACTTCAGCTGGCGGATCTATAGGCAATCCGCTGTCTAAGGCTACCTGCTGTAGGTTTGCCTTCGCGCCATGCTTCTGAGCTGCTGCAAGTTCAGCCGCACTTCTTCCGCCAAGAAGGCGTCTGTGGTCGGCGATATCCTGGTTAGAATATCAGCACGGGCGCTGATTGCGGGGTCCTCCCGAATCTCGGGTTGCTGAAGCCAGTACCCGGCCTCAGTAATAAGCGCACTGTATTCAGCTGGGGTAACCTGAGGCGTCTTCTTCCTGAGTCCGGTCATTCTGTTGTGACCGTGCGCCGGGACGAGCGAGCAGTGAGCGGGGAAGCAGGATCGGGCACACAGAAGTCAACACACAACACAATAAAACAACATCAATGACCGGACTGGGGAAACAGACTTGAACGCGGACTAAATACACAGGACTACTAAGAAATAACACGAAACAGCTAAATACAATCAGGAATTGACACGAGTAATGAGGGGGCGTGGCACACGGAAGGATCGTATGAGCAGGTCATGACACCATGATACTCAAGCTTTCAGACTTTCACACTCATACAAGGAATCTTATGGCAGATCTATATTATTACATTATGAACCTAAGATTAACTACATCAAAAACGCTGGGGTAATCTCCAAACCCTAGAGTCTCTTTACATAGATGAACCAGTGGCCATCCATTGAAAAAGCTCACCATCATTAGTCAGTCCGCAATAATATTCTGAGCACCGTTTTCATTACCTTAGCTCACAGCCATGTAGCCGGTGAGAGGCCTTGTGAATATTGAGCCATTTCATCGCCAAACAGTGTCTAAAAATATCAGTATTTTAAAAATAATTCATGTTTTCCATCCAGCTGTTCAAAGGTTGAAAACCTGATGAGACACAGTAACCCCAAGGGAGAATGCAAATGAGGTGCCTTATCTCTCACAAAATTAAGTGTTGTTCTCATTATAGATCTGTACAAATAGGAAATACGGGGTGTGGCAATGTGACAATGAGTTAAAAAAGTACAATATGTATATTCATTATTTTCTCAGTAGGTGCCCTAGTTACGGTGATTCACTTATGGCTTTAAAATGAACGGTTGGCACAGTTTGGTGCAGACTGAGGAAATGGAAAGCGGGAGAGTAGTCAGTCGAGTGCAAAAACCATGTTCCACCTGGGGCCATCCCATAATAATCGGAGGTCCTGCAACTACACTGTACTCTTGCTTGCAGAGATTCTCTGTTGTCTTCATCTTTGGTATGGTGGCTGGTTACTGTTTCCAGTTCTGCCTGTGTACTTCGGGCCAGTTCCGGTGTCCTTCCTGACACGGACCTTTCGCTTCCTTGGGTGCTGGTCCTCCACGGCTGTGGGTGCGATGATTAATGGTGACACATTAGCACGGAGCAGTTCCCGTCAGGGCCGTCGGCCAACACTGCAGTGGAGAGCACTCCGGTACCCGCAGACCTTTACGGAGAGTAGTGTGGAGGACTGGAGACACGAGTGCTGGTATTACGCTATTTGATAAATCAGCCAGTTAAACTAGACAATTACAGAGCTACCATTTTCCTTTCCTGCCCTTTTGTTGATGTTTTAAAGCCTTTTCAGCTCTAGCTAAGAGCCTCCTTCAGATACAGAACAGCTAAATTCAGCATCAACCGCAAATAAGTTTCCTTTTCCCTTATTATCAAGTCAGCCCAGAAACACGCGAGAACTTGGTTGCCAAGTGATTTCACTTGAAGTGCTCTCCAGCACTGGGCAGAAAGGGGACTTGGTTGAACAAATGACTTTCTCTGCCATTTCTACCTGGCAAAGTCAGTGGAATCAAGAGGGAAGGTGACTCATGTTTCGCCTTGCAGGTGAAGTTAATTCCAGCTGGCGGCTTGCTCTTCTGTGCTGAATGCAGAGTGTGGCCCCAACAGGGCATCTCCATCCTGCCCAAAAATGAGCCTTTGAGCACTGGGCAACCCGACTATGTTAGCATCAGATTTATGGGATGTCAGATAAACCAATACCATTGTGCTGATGATTTCTCAGATTGCTTATGACCCTGTTCAGTAAGTGTGAGGACAGTGGTGAAAATGCAGGATAAGAAGTAAATTTACAATTAAAAACTATCAGTCGACATTATGGACTAAATGATTAAATGCACCCGGAGTGTGTTTCACTCTGCATTGTAATCAGAACTTGAAGCAGAAAGCAATTTTCCTCTTTAGAATTTCCCTTGTTTATCAGTCTCTGGTTCAGGGCAAATTTCTGCCTTGCTGTTCCATATTAGAATGCTTCATTAGGTAGAAAAGATGATATATTAGGGGCGCAATAAGAGAAGAAAGCATAAACCTTTTTGATTAATGAACGTAATGATTTAAATTTACACAAAACAGAGGATTTTTAAAAACGCAAGAATCTCCTCTGTATTGGGAGGGAAATGTGATTTATCAGTGTCCTGAGTGCAGGAATACAGTGCGGTTCAGGCTCTGCTACTGTTTGGACCAAAGAGGCACAACAAATGGGCTAGCATGGGGTGGAGTGCATGTTGTAACGAGAGGAGGTGCCTCAGAAGACGACGGGGGATCATTTGAGGGCTTCTTTAACTGGCACCAAGGCTGCTTCTGTACGAGATGCGTTTTAGGGCCGTCCTCGGAGAGAGCCTGGGGTGATGAGGCACACGCCGCTGGCTAAGGAAGTCCTAACCGTCAGCCCCCATCAATGCCAGACAGAGGAACACGCAGTGTCTCCATTCCCACCCGCCCCCCCACAAACCCATCGCCATCTCATGCTCACGGCTGAGGACACTGACACTCACAGCTTGCTGGAGAATGGGATGTCACCAGCAGTTTAATGTGCTCACCTCGTTTGGGCTAATAGTAGGGGAGGGATGCCGTTACAGCTCAGACTCCACACTTCAAGGATTTCAGTGTGACTGCGGGGAGAGAATCACTCGTTGGGAGACTCAGCCCATATGATATCACGAGCCCACGCAAAATTTCAGAAAGATGGTATAAGTATATGTTTTGTTATATCTACACAAATCTGAAAATCAGCAGTCTGTTTAATTTGTTTCAACTCCTACACTCAACACATTATTTTATGCATCCTCTCAGGTATAAGCAGAGTGAAATGAGACCATTGAATCCTTATGGCCTTGGCAGGCCTCCCATTCTGCTAGTTAACACAGGTGTTTTCAAACTGGGATATTTATACTGATCAATAAACTGTGACAGTTCTCTTCTTGAATAATAGCCTATTCATTTATTCATACTTTCACTATTCTTATTTTTTATTGTATTTGCCTGGATACATTTTTAAGTGATTTCTGACACTATGGCTTCTGTAGACATCAAATACGAGAAAAAAAATGTTTAATTTTTTTTTATTAAAGCTTATTATTGCTACTCTTGTCATTGTCATGTATGAGATTTAAAATTAAAAAGCTCTGAATATTTTTGCTAAAGACACAATATTAAAATGAATAATGAATCACTGGCTGATTGTTGCGGTTGTGATCAGATATGGACGATGGAAAAAAATTTCAATGAATTACAGGAAACATCCCTTTCAGACCATTTCGGTCTCTTCTTACATACTCTGTACAGCCTTAAATGTAAATGTTGGATGTGATATATGCAGATTCTGACGCCACACCGTGATCACAGGGACTCCCTGATGTCTCGCCTGAAGCACCTGAAAAACGGCCCTTTCTTTTGTCCGCACAGCTGTTGTCGGAGAGCCAGGTCAACATGGTGAAAGTGGTGAACTCTGTGAGCGACGCCCTGAACTCCATGCAGAAGGAGACGGGCAGCATGAAGACACGGCTAAAAGCCGACCTGCAGCGCGCCCCGGTCCGCGGCGCCCGAACCAAAGGCTGCGCCAACGGTGAGGGTTGTTACAGCATTCTGAAGAGCCTGTATGGGGCTCACGATCCGGCACTGCTGCTCTAAAGGATGTTTTCTTAGGCTTAGATTAGATTAGAATAGAATAGAATAGAATAGAATAGAATAGAAATACTAAAATATCCCACCGTATGAGAGGTGCATTAATTCTTTTAATACACAAATGAAGTATGACGGAGTCATACAACTTAACAAATGCCATCACTGGGATAGGTTCACTGGTATGCTACAGAGAGGGCCTACAGCCCAAGATTCAAACCTCTAATGGAGGGGTTTTGTTTAGGATAGCACTGTGGAGACCAGACTGGAGGGTTCTGCAGTGCAGCAGCTGGACAGAGCCTTCAATATTATTCCACCCTCCTGACATCCCCACTATTCCAGAGGAGCACTACTAAATGCTACTCACATGAGGGGAATCTGCTGTTTAAAAGCTTGTCTCTTAGGACAGATCACACGGAGGTGCCAAGCAGTGCCAACGCGCCATTGATAAGATGTGAATGTTTTCCTGAAATTTCCCTCTTCAGTTTTTTCTTTCTGTTTATTCATCAGATCGTGTGGCTTTGCCTACACGCTATCACCTAGTGGCTATGAACTGTGTAACCTCCATACAGCACCACTTATAAGTCGGTAATTCTTTGTGGTTCAGGCCAGTTTATGGAGTTTCTTATGAACGATCACAATTTGTTGTTTTACAATAAAAGCACATTAGTTAATATATTTAAATGAACTGTTAACAAAAGGAAGGAACTCTCTTAGTTTTAATGGAAAAAAAGAAAACTTAAGTCATCTTGATTAATCATAAGCAGTGTTAATAATGTGATCAAATTGTCGCATTTAAAGTGGCTACTTTCTAAAATACTTATAAAATAATGTTCTCAGCAGCCTTTGAGGCAGAAAAAAATGGACAGTTATCCACAATGGAAATCAAAGTGAATGAATGGCCAATTATCGATGCACTGGCATGGATTCTCTGTTCTGAATTCAGTTGCGATTAGAGGTTGTAACCTGGTTTCCTGTTAGCTATGAATGCAAAGGGTTTAATTGCCTTTGGCAAAAATTTAGAATTGGTTATTCAAAACACCCTGGCAGTAATGTGTATTTAAAACATAATAGCTATACAACTATTTTCAATGACAGTTGATGCAGATGTCACGGTAATCCAGACCATATCTCAGGAAGAATAGGACCCAAAGGAAGGCTGGGTAAACTCCAAACAGTCCACTCTACTCACACACATGGTTCTCTTTTGGACTGGGGGGCTCAAATCAGTAATATTCAAATCAGTAAGCACAGAAATACAGAGACGACTCCCCTACCTACATGCACACAGGTATGTGGCCCTGTAGTGAAATGGGCTTGAATCCCCCCCCCCCACAAATGTGTTTGCCCCAGAGAAAACACATAGCCAGGTAATAAAACAACAAGTTTTAACTTCCCTCAAAATTTGCTGGACCTGCCCCAAAATACATTTCTGGCTACAAGCATGCCATCCCATAAGAGACAGCCATAGATTTAGATTGTAACTTAATGTACTGCTCCTCTCTGTTTGCACATCTAACATACACCCAGTCTGATCAAAAACAATCCCTTGCCTCCCTGCGTCTGGTCTCCTCGAGCCATGCTTTTATCTCCTCGCCCCCGTTCCTCCCCTGGGGCATGCTCCAATCCCTCCCCAAAGCAAGCTCCTTGGATGGCCTACCTGAGAGTGGTGCCTGAAGGAGCCACATATGCGTGAGGGTGGTGTGTGCAGGGGGGGTCTCCCAGAGAACACAAGCAGTGAGCTATAACAGAGCTGAAGAGACATAGATATATGATCATTTTCCAAAACCACCTACAGTGATTCATTAGTAATAATCACAAAGGCCCTATCTCCCCTACATACCCCTACGCAGGCTCCAGGCCCCGGGACTGCAGTGACATTTACGCCAGTGGGCAGAGAGAGGACGGCATCTACTCGGTGTTTCCCACCCACTACCCCTCTGGCTTCCAGGTCTTCTGCGACATGACCACCGATGGAGGCGGCTGGACAGTAAGTACTGCTGAGCATGTGCCATGCAGATACAGATAGACAGTGCCGTGAAAAAGTCTAAGGCTGCCAGAGAATATTTATCCTGCTGCTACAGATAAAATTTGCCGGGCGGGGGGGCTGGCAACAAAAAAAGTACATGAACTTTATTTTAGAATATTCAGAAAATCATCTCGCGCCCCACAGTTTGCGAACCACTGACCCATACAATGTTCCTGGGAAGTTTGAAGAACATCCACGGCATCCCTTTCTATCCTCAGCTGCCACCTAATGCTGCTGTATCAGGTGTAGATTATCACCCATACAGTGGTAATATGATGAAGCAAAGATTGAATAGAGTAAGGGTGTACTCACACTCGCCAATCCGAGATTGAATAGAGTAAGGGTGTACTCACACTCGCCAATCCGAGATTGAATAGAGNGTGTACTCACACTCGCCAATCCGAGATTGAATAGAGTAAGGGTGTACTCACACTCGCCAATCCGAGATTGAATAGAGTAAGGGTGTACTCACACTAGCCAATCCGTACTGTCCCCGAGCATGTTTGACCCCCAAAGTCCAGTTGTTTGACTAGTGTGATTGCTCCGTACCATGCCCGGGTACAATACGCTTAACCATACCCTGGCCCACTTGGAGAGGTGGGCCAGAGCAATACGTCAGACTTGAGCATTGTACGGATGTAGTGTCATCACTAGTACTGGGTGTTTCTCAGTACCAACAACTCAAAGATCATACTTGTGGTCTTAGCAAGACCAGTCTTGCTAACTTGCCTTCCAAGAACCAACTTGGGATGCAGTGAATCATGGGATTCGGCGAGGATACAATTGATGTGTCCTTAATATTTGGGACGGGGCAAACCCAGCCTCAGCACGTCTGCGGGTCCTTGAGCAAGACCCTTAACCCCCAGCTCCCTGGGCGCCGCTACGGGTGGCTGCCCTTCATGGACAGCTTACTCTACAAAGAGCAAGTTGAGGGAGGCGTAAAGACAATTTCCCCATGGGGATCAATAAAGTATTGATTATTATTATTGTTATTATTATAATTATCATTATTATCCGGGGCTCGGGCACAGTACAAGGCAACCAGGCCAAGTGTAAGTATGCCCTAAATAGAGCAATAAGATCAAATAGTTATTTTGTTCAGGTCAAGTGTCTGCTGCAGTCACCTTTCTCTTTGCTGCAACTAAATGCTGATCTGTCTAGAAGGTCCAGATCTTCTCCCATACAATGTGTTTGCAGAGTTTGGAAAAGATCAGACAAATAATTTTTGAGTTATGCTGACAATATGAAGTGTCTGTGGCTGCCCTTCTCTTTTGCTAAACGGAACGAGGACTGCCCCTAATGACTTTTTCTACTGATTAATCTATCGACTGTTTCACTAATTGGCCGATTAATCCTAACGATTAATTTTCCTCCAGAAAATCACATTGACCATTTAATTTAAGTTAATTTTATTTTAACAACAACAAACTGTATATCAGTGCAGGGCTTTAGATAAGGGATGCCAGCTTTTCAGCACTATACAGACATTATTTTCACCCACAATTCAATTCAATTAGTAGCAGATTAGTAGTATACCTAAAACATTAATGAGATGCGTATTGTGATGACTAATAGTTAGTAATCTGTATAAATTTGGCATATCGTTACGCTTATTAAATTCGGATAGTGGAGCGCGCCACATGCACCTGTTTCGGTAAATCATGGAAGTGATGAGCACTGGAATCGCGGTGAAGACAAGGGCAGCTCATGGAGCGCGACTGAAAAAAGAGGAGATATTGTGGTTAAACTCGATAAAGGGACTGTGGTAGTGTGGCGCTGCTTTTTGCAGATTAAAGTACGACAATTTTTCGTGGCAAATATAGTTTTCATTTTTATTTCAGTTCACAAAAAATTTACTGTCCGTTTTTCTTTCAGTTTCTGTTTATGGTAACAATACTGGTCCCAACAAGCCCATTACGTACAAACACACACACACATTGTCAACCAATGTAGAATAAGCCATTTTAACCTAAACCTTTTCTCAAACACTTATTCAATGGAAATTCCAAGCAGCCACTACAATTTATGGCTTTAATAATGAGAGTATTTAGCAGCTACAAAGACAAAAGATATTTAAAAGCTTTCTATCCTAACGAAAATTTAATAAACATAAATAGACAACACTTCTGGTGGTTTTGCTTATCCTGGCAACCCATCAACTATGTTGACTAATCTCAGCACCCCTAAATGAAACTGCTTCATTTTTGGTGTCATTGGCCTCAACATTTGATCAGGTTCAGACCTTCACCCTTTCAACATGCTTGCAAAGCTTGAAAAAAGTTTCTGAGTTATTGTACTAACAGGATTAAGGGTCTGGAACTGCTTTTCTCTATACTATCATGGCAATGCTCAGTTCTGCTTTGATCTGTCTCAAAATTTGATCAGTTCCAAATCTGCGGCAGCAGCAGACTGGACTCCAAACCATATGTATTCCTTCCCCCTGTGTGGAATACAATTAAGGGAGCTGGTGATGAAGTTTAAAAAATGTATGAAGTGAGTGGGGAGCTCCTGAGGAGAGCTTTGGGATCCAAAGTACCGTTCATCTAGCCATCCAACAGAAGAAATTCTTGTTTTTATTGTGTTACTGTTCATTTTCATATATTCTAATGTTAAATTGTAAATTGACCAAATATAGAGTAACTACCCAGATAAATGCTTTCAAACAGCCTAAGACTAGCAGTCACAAACATTTTCAGATAACCAAATACACTTAAGGACATGCTGAAATCATGCACCCAGACACTTTCTCTCTCTTCTCTCACATAAACCCTCACACCATTATCTCAGGGCCTGTGTCTGATGAGATAAATATGTACAGCACCCCCTGTGCGTTAAATCGGGAACACTGAACATACCTCTATTGAGTTTGACTTGCAGTCCTGCAGCATTTGCGTTTCTTGTCATTTTTGTGAGTAGGACATTATGTCACACACAGCCTTTCAATGTCAGGACAGAAGGGCATAGGTTTGGTTTCAACACTAGTGGGGGCCAAAACAGCCCCCCCCCCCCCCCCCCCCTAAACACAAGTGGTACTCTCATAATATTGNGGGCATAGGTTTGGTTTCAACACTAGTGGGGGCCAACCCAGTCCCCAGTCCCCCGTCCCCCTAAACACAAGTGGTACTCTCATAATATTGATAGGGACATGTCCCTACCATCCATACCCAAATCTAAGCCCTTGGCTGTACATGATACAATTGATCTTGCCATTTCCTTTTTTTTTTTATAAAAGCATTATAGAAGCTTCCAGTACTGTGACTTGTCAGTATTGAGTCTTGTACTGTACATTATATTAAGTGACACAATTCTTCACAGATGGGTTTGTTTGCCCTTTTGTGAAACATTTGCCTACAAGGAAAATGTTCTATGTTTCCATTCTGTGTTTTGCATAAGCTACTTATATATAATGAGTATTATATGAATGCATGTCTGGTAGTTTATTCATGGTGGTGAAATTCAAAATCTTTGCCTAGAAGCGTCATCATATCTAGCTACCGTGTACGCAACATGATGTCTGTAGTGTGGATGCCTGTAATGTCACACAGTACCATATCTAGCTACCGTGTACGCAACATGATGTCTGTAGTGTGGATGCCTGTAATGTCACACAGTACCATATGTCTTTTTCATCGCCATGTCTGTGACCTCCCACCCCATCAAAGTCTGGGTGTAGATGCAGCACCATTCCTCGTTGGGTTCCCTGGCCTCATGTCACCGGCAACCACACTTTCTTCCCCCAGTCTCCATGTTTGTCTCCAGAGGAGAACAGGGTCTCTGGAGGCATGCATGTTGATTGAATACTGTGTTTAACAGATCAGTAATTAGTGTTTCGTATTTATAGTGGTTCGGGAATGACAGAACCTTTGCAAATCACCACGGGCCTCTGAGGAGCTTAGCAGGCCCTATGGCAGGTACTGTAGCTGCAATGGGCCATTTCATTTTAGAAGTGTGGCCTCACAAGTCCAGGCTTGGGGGTCTAATCCCACTTCCAGCTGTGTGTTTGTAGCATTTTTATGTTCTTGCCATATCTGCACAATTTCCTGTAGTTACTGCAGTTTCCTCCAAAAGTTCTGGTTAGCGGTTAAGATAAATGGCATCTCCAGACCATATTGTGCCATTCTGTGTGCCTGCCGATAGCGTGGCATCTCCCTCCACAGAAGCATAGGGCTTGTGCCCGATGCTTCTGTGGGTTGGACCTAATGTTGGATATTGGTTTTGGAAGAGAAATGAATGCAGATAAGTTTATGATTGTGATTTAAAATTATTCAGGCATGGGTTGCTGATAGAACATTGATAAATGAAGCCAGACAATGAAGTGTGTGATTTGAGGTGGGTTTTTATTTTGTGGCTTCCTGCCTGAAATGGCTGCTGTTAAGTAGTTTGATTTAGATGATCTGGGCAGCATCAGTCCCAAAGCAGGGATGGTTATTTTAGCTACTTCTGCACAGAACCAGGGGCTGATGGGGAAGGATCTTTGGATTGCCGTCGTTCCAAGGGCCCACTAGAGCCACAAACCGCAGAGAGCCGTCATTCTCATATGCAAACAGTCACCTTGATTAAGTTTATGGCCTGGTACTGAAACACCAAAGAAGATGGTTTTCAGCCAGATCTAACTTTCAGATTTTCTCCCTGCTTGCAGAGACATATTTTGCCCCCCATTGCTTTTGTCAGGTGTGAGCTTCATGAATCCAATGGCTTTTCTTCCTCCTTTGAGCTTTTTAAACTGCTAAGTACCTTCCAACAGTGGTAGTCTCAGGATAAGAAGTTAGCTGTTTCACAGCGCTAATGGCTGCGCCGAGTTAATTCATCATGACTGGCCTCCAGCCGGATGCCGCTCTTCACCCTAGAGATGCTTGGCTGGGTAGAGTCAGGGGGCCGCTGAGCTGGATTGCACAGTCCGGGCGGGGGACCTCTTGGATGGTACACAGATCCCACACACACAGACACGGACGCTGCCACAG